TCGTTTTTCATTTTTCTTATTTAATTACCCGTTTATAAAAGTTGCGTGTTTAATAAAAATTATACAAATATTCTATATTTTTTATAAAATTATACACACCAATATTCTGAATAATAAACATACTTTAAGTATGTTACAAAACATACTTTAGAAAACATAAACATACAACTTTCATAATAAACGTACTTTGAAATAAACTTCATTGAAGGTTCTGCAGATCCTCTATAGCTCTGCAGAATCTTTGTTTTTTGATTTTTTTTTTTTCGTTTTTTCGTTTTGTTTTTTGCTTTCATTTTCGTTTATTAATATAATTTTTTAAAATACACTAATACCTTATGTGATTATTATGTAAAAAATTCTACAAAAAAGGTTAAAAATAATGAAATGTTTTATGTAATACGTTTGCCTCTGAGGAACCGAAACACCTCTGCTGATCTTGAGTTTTTTAATTTTTATTTTTTCATTTTTTTCGTTTTTTTCTATTTTTCGTTTTTGTTTATTAATATGAGTTTTTTAATACACTAATACATTATGTTTTATGTAAAAATTCTGACAAAAAAAAGGTTAAAAATAATGAACTTATGTTTAATATCAGTCCACAGAACCGTTTGAGAATCCACAAAACTATTATCAGCGGATCAGTGTACACCTCTGCGAATCAGTGTACACATTTGTGGATCAGTATACACCTCTATGGATCAGGTATAGAAGTTATAAACATATTTTAGTGGGTTTTTGTGAGTTTGTGAGTTTCAATTACTAGTAGAATAAAATTGAAACATATCGAAGAACGTATGAGCAGACCGTATACCCTCCTTTTAGAACTTAATGATTGGGAGGTTCCGGATGACCTTATGGTTGTTAACCCTCCTGTGAAGGAAATACGTTAAGCCGGTTGACCAAAAAACACCAATCATATTCCCTCTTAAGGTGATGAACCAAAAATAAGAATGTGTAGTAGATGCCATAACACAACTCATAATGCAAGGGCATGTAAGGAAATCGTTCCAAATAACCAAAGTAAAAGTAAAAAACATACTGGGGCATCAGGGAGTGAGACAAAAGCGAAAGAAGAGGAATTGACGCAAGCGACCAAAAACCATGGCAACATGAGCTAGAGAACCAATGGATGCAACATACCGAACAACAATGGTAGCAACAACCAGACAACCAATGGACACAACAGACTGAACATCAATGGCAGCAGCAACCGGACAACCAATTGACACAACAGATTGAACATCAATGACAACAACAATCAGACAACCAATGGACACAACATAACGAACATCAATGGCAACAGGAGCCACATAACCAATGAACGCAAGGGACCGAATACCGACCGTAGGACGAGCCATAGAACCAATAACAGGGTTGCACCGAGTACCAATGGCAGCAACAACCAGATAACCAATGGTCGCAAGCGACAGTAAACCTAGAGAGACAAGCAACTGGAAAACCTATGGACGAAATACGAAAACAAATCAAAGTTTCCGTGGTTCGATTTGAATGAATGAAGTTTATTTCATAGTATATTTATTATGAAGATTGCATGTTTATGTTTTCTAACCTATAAAAAACATGTAATATTTGTATAATTTTAATTAGGTTATTTATATGCACCAGATTGTATTACGTTATTTATATGTATTTGGTTTGTATTAGGTTATTTACGAAACCAGTTGAGTTAACTTTTACTTTATTCCATAGAGCATAAAATACAAAACAGTAAAAATACATGGAAAACATACATTAGTAGCAAACGTATTACATAAAACATTTCATTATTTTTAACTGTTTTTGTAAAAATTTTATATAATAATCACATAGAGTATTAGTGTATTTTTAAAAAAAAATTAATATTAATAACCAAAAATGAACGCAAAAAAAAAAAAAAATAAATAAAAAAACAAAGATTCTGCAAAGCTGTAGAAGATCCGCAGAGACTTTAATGAAGTTTATTTCAAAGTATGTTTATTATGAATGTTGTATGTTTATGTTTTCTAAAATATGTTTTGTAACCTATTTAAAATATATTTATTATTCAAAATACCGGTGTGTGTAATTTTATAAGAAACATAGAATATTTGTATAATTTTTATTAAATACACAACTTTTATAAACAGTAATTAAATAAGAAAAAAGAAAAACAAAAACAAGGTTTCTTTACCTAATAATCACATAATACCTTATGTGATTAAAAAAAATATTAATAAACAATTTTTTTTTTTTGCTATTTTGTCTTGTATAATCTATAAAATAAATCAAAGATAATAGAGAGAAAAAAGATCAATTTTCTATTTAAAGTAATGATTAATTTCTATAATCCAAATTTGGTTGATGTGACGATAGAGATAGAGAGTCATCAATAGCTTTACAGGGGTATAATTATTTTCTTCTACCCTCCTCCACCGTCTCTTCAATTACACTCCAGAATTCAAATTCATTTCCAATTTCATCAAGTTCATTGATATGGCGAAAGTAAACAATTTCAACACTCGCAAACGTAACCGGTTTTTGGCGATTGACGTGACAATTCTCTTACCTGCGGATGAGTCAGTCGACATCACGTCCGCCGAGAAATCAAAGGGCCGCGTCGGAGTCATGCAACAACCTGAGACGGAAGTGGAAGACTTCGAATATCAGATGAAAACGGATGATGAACTAATAGGGATGATTCTGAGGTTTAAGAATAACATTTTGACGCTAGGTCATAAGTTGCCGGATAAGGGAGAGAAAATCAAGGCAACTCTACGCAGATGTCTAGCTGAAGTCCAACGACGAAAGAGAAGCCGCGTCGACAAGGTATTCACCTTCATTCCGTCAACAATTTTATATGCATCATTCAACAGCTGATTATGTACAGGATGAAACAGAAGAAGAAGAAGAAGAAGATGATGATGATGATGATGTTAAAAGGATGAGAAGACTGAGAGATAAGCTGGAGGCGGAGAAAAATCAAGC